CAAGGTCAGGTCACCAGGTCACGTCAAAAGACCTCACCTCAGAAAAAAGTTGCAGCCCTCGTCATAGCTACACCGACGGAACGATCGCCTTGAAACTTTCAGCGATTGATAAGAGTAACAGTATGTATAAAGTGTTAATCTCGGAATTTTGATATCAGTGACCTATGGTCAGGTCAATTTTGCAACCTCTCCATTACCTATAAGTCAATGGGAGAAAATTGAAATGAGCCTTTTTTGGACGAATGGTATTTAGAACCCTCTCAAACATCGTTTTATAGGTAAACATGATACACTGAATTGGAAAAAATGCACCTGTGACCCCTCTGTGTGCCCTTGAGGTCATCTCAGGTCATGAACGGTCACCACCAGTTTTTTGGCTGTAACTTTTGATAAAGGCGTGCTAGAGCGATGAAAACACGTCAGATGTATTCAGCTCGACGATACGGATCGACTGATATGCAACATGACCCTTTTCGGTCAGGTTATGACCTTAGCCTGAGGTCAAATTTTAAAAATGACCTTTCAAGGTCAACAAATAGTTCATTCGACGCGTCTCGACGAGAGGAACATGATGCTGCCAAAAGTAATGTCGTGACACTCTTGAGTCAAAAGTTATTGCCGAAAAACAGTTTTCGTGAAAACTGCTATTTTACAGTTTTTGCCCTCTGGAGGCTAAACCGTTGACCTGAGGTCAAATCTGAGAACAGTGATCAGAAAGGTCTGTAAAAGGGCTATCGAATGCGCTTTTCCGCGGCGCTGTAGCTCTACTGATCCCGAGTTAGCCGTTGCAATTTCCAAAATTGTTGAAATGGCCTACATTTGACCTTTGATGACCTCTGGCGACCTGACCTTTGATCTGACCCAAAAAATGACCGAAGTGTTTCCGTCATTATTTTTGACGCTCTTTCGAATGCTGCTTACTGCGTGTCGCTACGTGGCCCAGGAGCCGAGTTAGACCAGACACCCCCCTCCCCGCCCGGCGCGGAAGTCGCGGAGCACCAGCCCGGCGCGGGTTAATCCCAGGCTGAGAGCGTTCAAGCTTAGGTCACCCATATACCTCTGTATACCGAGACATGCAGAAGTCTGTGGCTCACCAGGTGATATCAAGTTATCACGAAATGATACAAATTACTCCTGCTTTGAACTAGAGGTGGCAAAACGTGAAAATTTTGGGAACCAGACTCGAACCAGACCCGGCTGGACATTTCTGGAACCAGTCGGATCCGGTCTAAGTTGGAATCGGAACCAGTTGAACCCGTTCCCCAAAAGTCAATTAATACAAACCGTTTGTAGAAATCATTAATTGCATCGTGTAAAACAGCCCTTTTCCCACTGATAATACGTATGAGCTACAGTGTGCAAAGGGGAACATAGATAGATAGATAGATAGTTTATTGACACTGCACTCTTGATAAAATACACACAATACATAAAATACAAAATTCTATACATAATGCAATACACTAAAAATATACATAAAAAGGATAAAACTCGAGTGAAAACGTGTCCATTAAAATAACAAAATACAATATGAGCACCGCGGACATGGCGAAGCACAATCTAAATACATATTATGAATCATACTTTTCAAGAATGTTCTTACATAGCCTTGCGAGATCTAAAGGGTGTGCATCCATAAGGACAGTTAGACCGGAAAAATTTAATCTGGGGAAATGTTCTCGAAGTGAATTTGATTCTGGGCAGTCTAAAAGTACATGTTTCTCTGTTTGCACTGACCCGCACGTGCACAGCCTTTCTGTCTCTGGTATGCGCGACCACCTCCCCGTTTCTATTTTTAACCTGTGTGAACCTAAACGGATTCTTGTAAAAGCGATGCGCTCGTTTTCAGGTACATTTGCCTCATACATACGGTGTCGCGCGACATTCTGATTAAACTCACGGTATGTTGTCATTCGCGTCGATGTTGATTCTAAAATTTTACAGCGTAAGGTTTCCATGTTTCTTTCTCTAAGTGACCCGATTTCTTCCGTTTGTAGGGAGTTGACATAACGGCCAGCTTGTGAGCCCGACTGCACTGATAAATGCATGGCTAACTGGGCGGGACTGCCCTCGAAATCATCTCGTGATGTCAGCTTTCCTAGAAATTTAATTTGGTTCTCTTTAATCACTGTCTTTAAGTCTGGGTATCCCAACTCTGCGTGAACAAGGTCACTGCTTGTCTGATTTCTGACTGACAATAGCTGTTTTTCCGCGGACAATACCGCCGTCGAGGCATGCTTAAAATCGTTGCAAAGCCAGCTTTCACAGCCATACAGTATTGCACTACAGAGAGCACTTTTGAATACCATCTCCTTGACAGGAAATGGCGCGTCTTTGTTTTTCTTTAAAAACGCGGAAAATTTCACTAAATGACTGCGCTTAAAATCTATGTGGGCTTTGACTTGATTACGCAAAGTTGCATTGCTGATTGGTGTTCCAAGATAAATGTACTCATCTATGTGACTGATGGATACGTTATCGAAAACAAAAGGAACAGTGTCCCCTGCGTTAATCGCCATAAACTTTGACTTCTGCGGGTGTATTTCCATTCTAATGGTGCCAACTTCGCGGTGCAATAGTGCTAGCTTTTGTTTCATGGCATCTCTGGATGTGGCTAAGACAACTGTATCGTCCATGAATAGCAGCGAATGGGTGTTACTGAGAAAACCGTCAGGTCCAAACGTCTTTATGGCTCTGACCGTACTGTTGATATAGAAAGTGAAAAGGGAACAGCTGTTTGCTGCGCCTTGTTTTACCCCAACCGAAGACGTAAATAAACCTTGCCCTAAGGCATTTTTGCTAGCCTGCAGACTGTTAGCCACTGCTGTTAGATATTTCATGCCGCACCCCTGATCAGCCAGTTTCTGCAATAGAATGCTACGATTCAACTTATCATATGCCTTGATATAATCGATGTACGCGATATACAGCGTTTGTTTCGTTTTCTGAGCGTAATCGATCAGTAGCCTCAGCGTGAATAAGTGCTCTGCACAGCTTCTGCCCGTACATACATGAGCAAATGTTTTCTTTCCATTCACTTCATATTTTGCAATCATATGTAGTGTATCATATGATGGATGATGATGTAAATAATAAACCAAATTATTACAAATGCATTCAAATATATTCAAAAAGACACACAAAGCTTTCGTTTCATGGAACCTTGATCACTGTGCAAATGAGTATAACAATCGCTGTAACCGTCTAAAAATTCTTTGAAATTAATCAGCCGCGTGTTTTCTTCTTCTGCTGGTCTACCACCGATTTTGCTGCCATTGACGACCAGAAGAAGAAAACACGCGGCTGATTAATTTCAAAGAATTTTTAGACGGTTACAGCGATTGTTATACTCATTTGCACAGTGATCAAGGTTCCATGAACCGAAAGCTTTGTGTCTCTTTTTGAATATATTTGAATGCATTTGTAATAATTTGGTTTATTATTTACATCATCATCCAACCTGTCATGGATACTAAACAAGTATCATATGATGTAAGGTATAAGGTATATATCATATGACCAATAAGGTATTGGCCAGAGGGACGCTTCATCCACCTGAAGGGGCACATTGATAAACGGATGGGGCGCCGCTCTGTGTGCGGGGGCATTAGTTATTAGCAAAACAGATGACATAAGACGTGCGTGTTGTCAGAGGGGCACCACTTTGGCTCGAGGGGCGCTTTTTTACCAATGGGGCACGCTATTTAGCTAAGTTTTTACATGCCGCAAGCGGCGCACCATCCCTGAGGAACGTTACACAAACGACTGACGACTCTCTCGACATGGGCATCAGAGGCACCCCTATAGACCTCACAGGCGTCTCTAATTCCCATTGAGGCGCCCCTTTGGGCTTCAACTGGAGCTCCTCTTTCTATGGGCCTCGGAGGCGCCCCCATTTGGCATGCAGTCTCCCCTCTTTCGTATTGGGGCGCCATTATGGCCTTAATGGGCGCCCCTTTTTCATGTGGGCGCCCCCTATAATATAGACCTCAGAGGCACCCCGAAGGGCCTCAGAGGCCAATAAGGTGCCCCTCTTTCGCATGCAGGAGCCCGTGTTTTGCATTGAGGCGCCCCTGAGGACTTCATGGGCGCCCCTCTTTCGCATGCAGGCGCCCCCAAGGCCTCAGAGGTTCCCCTCTCACGCATCCCATTTCCATAGGCGATGGCGCCCCTTGAAAGATGGCGCACGCGCTCCTATGACGCCGCTGGCCCGTGAGGGCGCCTTTCGGGCCTGGGGGCGCCCACCAAGGTTGGGGGGGGGGCAAACGGAATGTTGGGGTGGCAAAATTTCAAGTTGGGGGGGGGGGGCACCTGCCTCCCCAAAAGTATACAAAGTTACGCCCCTGACAATGAGGGGCTATGTGGATACCTAGAGGGGCGGCACCATTATATTGGTGGGTTCCTCTGACACTTCGAAGGGCGTCACTGACACTATAAGGGGCGGCACTAACACTTTAAGGGACAGCAGCATCATTTTGAGGGGCGCCACCAACTTGTTGACGGGCAGCACCATCACATTCAGGGGCGGCATCATCTTCTTGAGGGGCGGCATCATTTGCTTGAGGGGCGGCTCCATCACAATGAGGGGCTTTGTGGATGCCCAGAGGGGCGGCACCATTATATTGGTGGGTTCCTCTAACACTTCGAAGGGCGTCACTGACACTTTAAGGGGCGGCGCCCGCACTTTAAGGGGCGGCAGCATCATTTTGAGGGGCGCCACCGACTCGTTTGCGAGCAGCACCATCACATTCAGGGGCGCCACCGGCACTTTGAGGGCGGCACCATCACATTGAGGGGCGCCACCGATACTGAAAGGGGCGGCATCATCTTCTTGAGGGGCGGTATCATCACATTGAGGGGCTCCTCAGATGCTTAGAAGGGCGGCACCATTACATTGAGTGGGTCTACTAACAGATTTAGGGGCGGCACTGTCACATTGAGTTGCGGGATCATCACTTTCTGTTCGCACGCCGTTTGCAGAGACGTTGTCGTCGTATTTGTTGTCGTCGAACGGGCTGTATTTACTGCCGTGGTGCCGTAACTGCACACGAACAAAATAAAACATCTCAGTTTCGGTAATGTCAACACCACATTCATGACGTCATACAATATTTCTATCATGAATCGTTACTTATCATACAAATACAATTTCCCTTTGTTTATATCTTATCTGACGCGTTTCAAATATATTGTTTACTAGGTAACTTTCGTATCTTATCTCGGAACACCTTTAAATACAAAAATGCAAACACTTTCAGTCGCAGTGACAAGTGATGATTGCATACAATTTCTTACAGATAATGACAGTCTAAATCCCCAGTTCAGTTCATACCGACAAGTTTTGCCTCCCATGCGAAGTCTCAGCGTGCAAAACGGGTTCTTGGTCGCACCAACTTCGACCTCGTATAAGCGCCATTAGCACAACGCTGAAATGCACACAAAAGAGGAAAATATATCACAACTGTACCGATATACCATATCGTAATCGAATAAATAACACATAACTATCAGAATTATCGTTCATATGCGTTTGTGGTCGATCGACAAGCTCAACAAAAAATTATCCACAAATTTGGCGCAGCGCCAGATTGCCTTCGCAGCATCGCCATTTCCTTTTATCATGTGAAGCTGCTTAATAATCAACACATATCGAAATGACACACTTACAAGCTACATACAAACCAATACCTGTATCGAAATATCACTCACCCGTTGATATTCTACATAAAAACAAACACAAAGGCACAGACCACTGACCAACCGGCCATTCGTCTGCATTCGTCCCCCACGTGAGCCGGCCGAGCGCCGCGCAGCGGCCGTGACCTTCACAAGGTTCGGCCTTCAGCCGGCTCTGAGTAGAGCTGCCGCTTTACAGAAACACGAGAGCGCCGGTGCGCCGACGAGGCGGCGCCAACACTTTCTATAGACGGCTGCTTCACTTTAAGAGGCGGCATTATCATTTCGGAGGCCAGCAGCATCACTATGAATGACGGCACCTACTGTTAACGCCAGACCCCTTGAAACCCTAATTTTTCGCGATTGTTTTTTAATGCGCGGAAGAATTTCAACCATATTTAGGAAATAGCTGTTTCAAGACCTGCCGAAACTTTTTCTTCAAATACGTTTTGTTGGGCACTTGTCATTGACTCGTAATGTTAACTGTTTTTCCATACTGGATAGAGGCTTTCATACGTCATATGACATTAGGCTCCGCCCACGACTGCGGCATTGACCCGTGCCCATCAGCGACCTCTGTACAAACGACACCCCTGCCATCTGTAAAGGACTATGCATTTCGCTGACGCTTCACGTGCTATGTATCAATTGCAGCAGACGGTCAAGTAAATGTTAGGCTCTTGTTGACTCTCGTATATAGGACCAAGAGGCCATCACTCCTCAACCTACTATTCACACATGCTTCGAACAAACGTTAAAGATTCCTAACAAATACGATGCTCGATGTAGGATATATGTAGGTATGTTTGAAATACGAGCGAGCCTTATGATGTGAAGCGAAGGTAATTAATTAATTATTACGTTGTTCGATGGTTGCATAGCGATGTACAAATCAGCAACTACTTGATGACATCCGAAATCCCATTATCACATTAGTTATCTGCAACGCCATAGGCTTTAAATACCTACAGGTGAATATTTCCTAACCTTATGTCAGGTATATGCCATCTGCCCGTCATTTGCAGCTTATGAAAAATAAAACAAATATCAGCCGTCAGCGAACCTATCAGCATTGTACAAGCAATGCGCATTGAGCATTTATGGCTCCTCAGTCATCATGTCGCTCTTTGGGCACTGTCAGACAAGACGCTACGCACAACTCCGCCGGCTTTCGGCACCGCTCGACCGTCCCCGCTCCCCGCCACAGCGCGAGTACCGCGCGTCGGCCCGAAACCGCCGCAGGCCAAGACCAGGGGCGTAACTTTATATACTTTGGGGGGGGGGGGGCAGGTGCCCCCAACTTGAAATTCTGCCACCCCAACATCCCGTTTGCCCCCCCCCCAACTTTGGTGGGCGCCCCTTGGCCCAAAAGGCGCCCTCACGGGCCAGGGTCGTAACCACGCTCAACAGATCGTGGCGAGAAAAAAACTGCAATAGGAGCGTCATCCCTCAGGGGGGGGGGGGCGCCATCGCCTATGAGCTTGGGACCTCTGAGGCCATGGAGCGCCTACATGCGAGAGAGGGGCGCCTATGAACTCCATAGGGGTGCCTCAATGCAAAAGAGGGGCGCCTGTGATGGCAATAGGGGCGCCTGCATGCGAAAGAGGGGCACCCTATTGGTCTCTGAGGCCCTTAGGGGTGCCTCTTAGACCTATGATAGTATAGGGGCGACCACGTGCAAAAGGGGGCGCCAAGGAAGGCCATAGTGGCGCCTCCATACGAAAGAGGGGCGACTGCATCATGTATGCCAAATAGGGATGCCTTTGAGGCGCATTTTAGAAAGAGGACCTCAAAGGAGCGCCTCAATGGGAAAAAGGGGCGCCGGTGAGGTCTATAGGGGCGCCTCTGTTAGCCATATGGGCCGTTACATGCGAAAGAGGGGCACCTATGAGGCTTAATGGGGCGCCTCCATGCAAAAAGGGTAGGTCGTTTGTGTAAAGTTTTTGAGGGACGGTATGCCATTTGCGGCAAATAAATACTTAGCTAAGTAGCGTGCCCCATTCGTTAACATGCGCCCCTCAAGCCAAAGTTGGTGCCCCTCTGACTACACTTACGTCTTAAATCATCCCTTTTGCTAATAATGGCGACCCTCGCACCACAGAGTGGCGCCCTTCCGTGTATCAATGCGACCATTGAGGTAGTTGAAGCGCCCCTCTGACAAGTACCTTATGCCATCATCCTTGCTAGAATAGCGCCCCCAGTCCGCAGGCTGCCGATTGGCTCCTGAAGGCGCCCTCGTGCCAGTTTTGGTGCCCCTCTGCACTGAGTAATGAAATGTATGTGGCACTCGCACAGTGAGGCGCCTACCGATTTTAAGAGCGCTACTCGAGTCATAACCATCGCCCCTCTACGTATACCTATAGAGGGGCCTGGATGCCATATAACACACTATAATGTGTTATGGCATCCCTGCTGCTAAAAGGGCACACTTAGCTATAAGGCTAGCGCCTCAACGGCTCATACAAGCACTCTGCAAGCCAAAGTTAGCGCCCTTCTGACTTATATCATTTCTTTTGCAAAGTACGACGTCGCCTCTCGTTGGACAGGGTGGCGCCCCACCAGTTTATCGGCGCGCCTTTAGCCACATGAACCGCTCCTCTGGTCAATGCGGTCAATACCTAATGCCATCGCTGCAGCTAGAACGGCGCCCCTATTTCGGTGCTAGAACAGCGCCCCTCGAGGCTCTTTTGACGCCCTTCTTCAGTGCGTAATGACATTTACATATGTGGTGAAGAGCGGCGCCGCCGCCCTTGGCGCTGAGTGGCGCCCCACTATTTATTAATGCGCCCAGCTACAGTCTTTGAAATCGTCCCTCCGGGAAATGTGTTATTATCTTTGCGGTAAAACGGCACACTTAGCTAGTTGGAGAGCCTCATCGGTCAATAAAAGCGCCTCTCGAGCCAATCTCGACTATAATAGATATTAGGTAACCCCTTTGCCTAGTCTCCATGACCTATACTAACATCTTTAACTACACTAGTGTCTAATGTCGTTTCTTATGTAGGCGCGGTGCCCCGCGCCCGTCAGGGTGGCGCCTCAACAGTTAATTAACGTGCCCCATGAGGCAGTTGAAGCGCCCACTCTCCAATACCTTGTCATTGCTGTTCCCAGAACGGCGCATCCTGACGGACGTCCCATTGGTCCCTCCCAGAGGGAACTCTCGAGCAAGATTTGGCACACCCCTCTCGGAAGTGCATAGTGACATTTCTGTGTTTTAGAACGGCGCCTGGTGCTCCACCTATGTACTCATCAAAGTCTCAGCATGATTCTATAGCCCGTCCAATTCTGAAACCTCCGGTTTTGTTCTGCTCCGATGGGATACCCGGTCGGTAAATAATGACCCGGGAAGCACCCTCCGCCGCCCCCTTTTCAGAATTTGGTCATTTATTTCTCACAGAAAATCTCCTCTGTTAAAATAATGGGGAAATGCGCGTTTTCTCAGCGTGCGTGCCACGTACCACACCACACCCGGCACCCACGTGATTTAAAGGTAGTGTGCCACCTTTGAAAGATTTCCCGTTTTATTTTTCCTAGGATAAGAAGCTTCTGTTTTTACCTAATATCGCAAAAAAATCAAAAATGGGCCTGGAATAGTGCCTTTTTCGCCTAAAAGTTTATCGGTTTTTAGATATGTATAACAACTGTAGTGGGCTCACCTGCAAACAGGCGTCGGGCAACAATCGCGAATGCGGCGCACTTGTGACAATAAGCAAAGGTCATTATAGTGTTACGACCATACGACGTACGGGAATGAGTTATCAGCTGTCTAATCGTAGACAACACAATGTCGAGCCTTAAACTGTAAGCCTGTATTGGTATTGTTTCTTAAATTTGGCTGTCGAACATTAATTTGTGGTTTGAAATATGATTTTATGTAAAATAATTGATATGAAACAGCCGTCTCTTAAGTTATGACCCCATTACACCACACGCAAGTGGCAGAAATGACAATGATCAGCTGACGCATTTTTCTTGGCCGAAGTCAGAGCGCGCGGCCCGACGCACCACGCGTATTTGGAAATTCCGACCTCGACGAGCATCAGAAGCCACCTAACAGGCGTGTTCGAAACCGCAGGAGATGATGATGAACGGGTTTATCGAAACTTGATTGGATGAGCCTATCGGCAATAGCGATTTTAGTGTGTGCATTTATTGTTCATAGTGGTGTGAAATGTGGTTGGGGTACGACCGACAACCCGTCGGGGCGAATTTCGCACTGGGGTACTCAAAATTTGAAGAATTTAAGACGTTTCCATAAGTTTTGAAGGTATGGATAAGTTCTAAAAATCCGGTTCTCCTTATCCGGGTCATTAACTCCATATGGTCCAAGAAAGCTGGCACACTACCTTTAAGATTGGGGAAGGCACCGACCAATAACGTCATCTTACACCCCGTGCAGATTTAGACCTTTCGTCACCATTCACCAACCGTTTGTCATGGTTCATATCTACAGGAAATCATGGGAAACATGAAATATGAGCTATCAACGTTTCATAAACGTGCACCTTGTCGCGTTTACGTCCTGCATAATCGTTTTTTATCTCGTTTTTTTTTTAATCGGCTGCTTTCTCATTTTTCGGGTCATTTCATTCCATCTGTTCATCCTTTTTAGAAGCACTACGGACTACCATGTTCGTTAGAGTGTAATAGGGCGTCACTACTATCAGTAGCGGCGGAACACCTTCAATTAACCCGCGCCGGGCCGGTGCTCCGAGATTCCGCGCCGGGCAGGGGGGTGTCTGAACACCCCCCTTCTAACTCGGCTCCTGGGCCAGGTAGCGACACGTGGTAAGCGGCAATCGAAAGAACGTCCAAAATAAAGACGAAAACACTCGGTCATGTTTTGGGTCAGGTCAAAGGTCAGGTCACCAGAGGTCACCAAAGGTAAAATGTTGATTATTTCAACATTTTGGAAACTGCCAACGGTTATCTCGGGAACCGATAGAGCTACAGCGCCGCAGAAGAGCGCATTCGATAGCCCTTTTACAGACCTTTCTGAGAGGTGTTCTCAGATTTTACCTCAGGTCAACAGTTTAGCCTCCAGAAGGCAAAAACTCCAAAAATAGCCGTTTTGATTAAAAACGCTTTTCGGCAATAACTTTTGACCAAAAAGAGCCATGACAT